CAAAAAAAAAAAAAAAAGGTAAAGTAGCGCTATATATAGAAGCTCCAAAAGTTCTCTTCACCCATTTCATTTTTCATTTTTTTTCTTTTACATTTTTCATTTTGGATTCAAGTCAAAATGGAGCTCAAATAGTGCTATTTATAGAAAGTTGAAAACAGGGGTAAACAAAGGTTTTAATTTTTCATTTTTTCCAAGGTTGGGGGGCAAGATTGCTGATACACGCAGTAATAGCAGAATTTGATAGATTCTTGACTATAGTCTAACTGATATTCCTCCTAGTAGTCTTGTTCTTCTCATACATAACATCAAGCAAACAAGTACTCTTGCATTTAGGGCATCTTGGGTCATTAACTTCTGCTAACATAACATACATGAGACAACGTGGACAACCAACCAACACCATTGAAGTAATTGTTTCTGGGCTGTCGGAATAACGTTGGACGGCGGAGGAATCGTCGGACGACACGCATGAACTCGTCGGCGACGCCGTCAACGACCTGCTCGGCGACTCCACTTGTGGGTGGTTGATCACTCGTGGTGGTGACAAATTCAGCTTTAGGTCAAGCTCACCATTTCCATTTCTTCGGCTCATGGCTAATTGTAGTACTTGTAATTAATATGATTTCTTTTCTTCTTTCTTTTGAATAATAATCAATCTCCCCTGTCTGAAAACAAAAGCCCCAAAAATAACAATAAATAACATTAAAAAAGGAGTTCAACTAATATGACAACGTAAAGAAATTTTTACTTTTTATAGCAAGTATGGATTGATAACCAACAAAACACAGTAAACAAGTGTAATCCGGTGCACTCAGCTCTCGCTATGCGCAGAGTTTGAAAAAGGCCAGACCACAAGGGTCAATTGTACGCAGTCTTACACTGCATTTCTGCAGGAGGCTGTTTTCATGGCTTGAACCTCTGACCTCCTGGTCACACGGCATCAACTTTACCAGTTACGCCAAGGCTCCTCTTCCAACAAACCACGGTAAATGATCAATTAAAACAGGTAAAATTATACTGATAGTGTAAAAATGATATTAAAAAACGATTAGTATTTTTTACGTGATCATCAGAAGAACTTGTATTACCTTAAGATTGAGGAATTTTTGCCACCTAAAGGAAGTGATGAGGAAAGCTAGCTCTTCTAATTCAAAGGTGGAGTAAGGGTGGTAGTGATTGAAGAAAGGAAGGGGGTAGCCGGAAGGTTACGGCGGAGATCGGCGGCGCACCAAGGGAAGTAACCGGAACCACCGGCAGCACGGCCAAACTACTAAGATGAACAAGTTGAACTTGTTGTGGTCCTAGTTGATGATCTTGGACTTGTAAAGCCATATTATATAATGGGAACTATAGAGTGGAGAGATGGGATTGCTTTAAAAGCTTAATTAAATTATAGGAGAAGAAGTTGGAAGAGAGAGAGAGAGAGAGAGAGAGAGAGAGAGAGAGAGAGAGAGAGAGAGGGGTAATAGGAAATCAATTGAATGAATTGAAAGAGGAAGGGTAGAAAGAAGAGAGAGGAGTAAATTGAGGGGCAGGGAAATGTATTAATGGTTGGAGAAAATCCCAAGATAGTTTGCTCAAAATGGAAAATTGGAGTAAATATTTGCAATTAAAACTAATAAGTGCATGCTGTGCAGGGAAATTAAAGGGGCTGGTAGAGGGAGGTAATTCATTATGGTCAATGAAAGGTGTAAATACCCATTGCCACTGTGTGTTTGTGTGTGTTTCTTGATAAAGCTATACATACAGAACAAACACAAACACAAGAAAAGCCATAGAAGCCTTTAAAGCGCCAACTAAATTTTCTAACAAATCCAACCTCACTCATATTAATTTTCAATAGCTATCCATATTTAATAAATTCTAGAGTTGCGTATCATGATGGACTTGTTAATTAGTTAATGTGAAATGAATAAGTGTTGAACACATCTTTTCCATTTTTTTCAATTTTCTTTACAACAACAACTACTCACTATTAATTCCAATCAAATTGTGATTGGTTATATATATGAACCTTCGCTAATTATGTTCTCCTAGCTCAAATTATTTGTCGTGATTTCTAAAAATAGTTGTCTCAGATTATTTATTATTTTAGAACTTTTCGACAAAATCAATTATTTTTTTCTCATTTACCCTTAGTATTAATTATTCTTGAAGATGGAGATTACACATAAATAAAACAAAATATTTAATAAAGAGATATTTTATTTTAAAACATAAATAAAGGTAAAATAATCAAAAATACCTTTTAATTAATGTTTCTTAAGGGGTGTGCAAAAGAGAAATATGATAGATAATTTGAGACGAAGGGAATATTTTTTTAAAATAAAAATACTTTTTCCTTCTTCCTCTTTTTCCTTTTTTTTTCTCTGATACAAAGGTATATATACCGTGTATACTTAATTATATTATTTGTGTATTCATACTTAAATAAATATGGCCTAATAACACTTTTGTGGCGATTTATTATGAGCTACTGTTTCATTGAAAATATATGCATATACATTTGTGTCGCCGCCAAAGGTTTTGATATGAGCGGCTTAAATATATACTCCTTCCAATCCCCTTTAATTGGTTTTTTTGGTTATTTTCACACATTAAAAAATTCATCTTTCAGCATTAATTAACAATGAAATTGAATATATTAACCATAATTTGTTCGTTGGAATTTGAAAATAAAATAAACACTCCTAGACTCTTCATTCCAATGACAACTTTGGAAAAAGAAGTTAATTCCTTCTTTATATATGAAGAAATTAAATATTGTGGACCACAAAAAAGAGAAAAAATTAATTAAAGTGGATCGTAGAGAGTACTATTATTCTAATATCGGCGCACTGTATTTTCAAGTTTAGTGTTCAAAACTGTTTATTGCAGCTTAATATATTCGGTCGAACTTCTCTGATGTTTGAGTTCCATATTTGATTAATTCATGTGATAATATAGCTGCTAAGGTTTAAGAAGAAAAGCAGATAATATGAATGCCCCTCACCCAACAAAACCATCTGTCCCGTGCTGGTATTTCTTCTAATAAATATTTTCTTTTTATTTCTCACCCTTCTTCTAGAGAGTGTGTTTGGTACAGCCAAATCATTTTGATGTTCATTATTTGGTTGATGAGAGGAGAATATTTTCTAGCTTCCTCTATGTATGTGAGATAGTTAGGATGAGGTTTTTCTGGCGTTAAATCCGTGGCCGAGGCACCCAAAACAAAATAATGTAATCCGGGTCATTAAGCTTTCACTATACAACAACAATGACGACAATTTAGTAGGATTTCACAAGTGGAGTCTGAAAATGATAGCGTATACATAGACCTTACCCTATCCTTGGGAGGTAGAGAGGTTATTTCTAATAGATCATCAGCTCAGGAAAGAAGAAATAAAACAGTAGCAACAAGCAATAACAATAGCAAGATACTGCGAAAACCGAAGCGAACGATAGTGAGAGAATAGCAGATAGCCAGAAAATAACTGAAAGTAAACACTAGCAATAAGCAGTAACAACAACAAAAAACAAAGAAACTGAAGCGAAAGATAGTAGGAAAGCAGTAGGGACAGACTAACCTTAATACCATCGATACGGAAATGAAAAAAAGCTTGATTACCTACTAGCTAGCCTTCTACCCTAATTCTCGATATCCACGCCCTTCTATCAAGGACCTTGTCCTCGGTAAGCTTCAGTCGTGCCATGTCCTGCCTGATCATCTCTCCCTAATATTTTTTTGGCCTCCCTCTACCTCTTCTCATACCCACCAAGACCAACCGCTCACACCTCCTCACTGGGGCATCTATGCTTTTTATCATCACATGTCCGAACCATCTTAGCCTCGTTTTCTGCATCTTGTCTTCCACGGGATCCACTCCCGCCTTCACCTAAATATCATCATTCCTAATCTTATCCAACCTAGTATGCTCGTACATCTATCTCAACATTCTCATCTCTACTACTCTAATCTTCTGGATATGAGAGTTCTTGACCGGCCAATACTCTGTCCCATATAATATAGTCGGTCTAACCATCACTCTGTAGAACTTATCTTTAAGTCTCGGTGGCACATTCTTATCATACAAGATGCTGGATGTTAGCCTTTATTTCATCCATACTGCTCTGATACGATGCGTGACATCCTCGTCAATCTCCCCGTTTCCTTGGATAACAGACCCCAGATACTTGAAACTTCCTCTCTTGGGGATGACTTGTGAATCAAGTCTCGCGTCCATGTCTGCTTCCTCGATCTCGTCGCTGAACTTGCACTCTGAGTATTTTGTCTTAGTCCTACACAACTTAAAACCTTTAGACTCTAGAATGTGTCTCCAAACTTCCAGCCTCTCGTTAACACCGTCGCGCGTCACGTCAATTAGTACAATGTCATCCGCGAATAACATACACCATGGCACCTCCCCTTGAATATGGCGTGTCAATGCGTCCATCGGTAAGGCAAATAAGAACGGGCTAAGATCTGAGCCCTAGTGCAACCCCATCACAATAGGAAAATATTCTGATTCTCCTCCCACAGACCTCACCCGAGTGTTAGCTCCATCGTACATGTCCTTAATCACCCTAATGTATGCTACAGGAACATCTTTAGTCTCTAAACATCTTCATAGAACCTCCCTAAGGATTTTGTTGTATGTTTTCTCTAGGTCAATGAACAACATATGCAAATATATATTCCTCTCCCTATATTATTCCACTAACCCCCTAATTAATAGCTTTTATAGTCGAACGACCTGGCGTGAATCCTAACTGGTTCTCAAAAATAGATATTGTCCTCGTAACCCTCACTTCAATCACTCTCTCCTAAAACTTCATAGTATGACTAAGCAGTTTGATGTCCCTATAGTTATTGCAATTTTGGACATCACATTTGTTCTTAAACAACGAATCGAACTCTACCTCCATTCTTCAGGCATTTTTTTCGTCCTAAAAATAATGTTAAACAATCCAGTGATCCACTTTAATCCTGCCCTACCCGCGTGCTTTCAAAATTCTACCGGGATTTCGTCTGGTCCAATCGCTCTACCCTTTTTCATCTTACGCATAGCCCCCTCGACCTCCTCAACTTTAATACGCCTACAATACCCAAAATCTCGCCGACTCTTGGATGGCTCCAGATCACCCAGCACAATATCCATATTTCCTTCTTCATTCAAAAGTTTAGGGAAGTATGTCTGCCATTCTCGTTTAATATGTGCCTCTTCCATCAGAACTTTGCCTTCCTCGTCTTTGATGTACTTCACCTGCTCCAGATCACGGGTTTTTCTTTTTCTCACCTTGGCTAGCCTGTACAATCTCTTGTGACCTCCTTTGACCCCAAGTTCTTCGTACAAATGACCAAATATTGTTGTCTTAGCCTCTGATACTCCTACCTTTGCTTCCTTTCTAGCCTTCTTATACAACTCCTTGTTCGTCTGCTTCTTCTCCTCGTATGCACTCTCCACTAACTTCAAATACGCTGCTTTCTTGACTTTCACTTTACCTCGAACCTCTACATTCCACCATCAGTCCCTTTGTGACTACCAGAGTAACCCTTTGAAACCCCTAACACCTCTCTCGCGGCCTCCCTAATGTTGTTAGCTGTCATGGTACACATACCACTCGCGTCCTCACTACTCCTCCAGGCCCCCATATCCAGCAACTTCTCCCCCAACTCTTGAGCTTTGTCCTTAGTGACTATGCGCGGGGTATAATAATATTGACAAGTCGAAGTGTTTTGATGAATTGTTGGAGGATTAAAAGCTATTATAATGGGTAAATTTTAGTTTGTAGTAATTAATATATAAAGTTAAAAGGTAAGATAGTTATAAGAAAAATAACTTTTACTCATAAATAAAAAAAGAATATTTTCCCTTTTAATAAAAATAAATAATCAAACACTAGAAATTAAATTATTTTCGTGAAAAGTACTTTCTCCTTTTTGAAAAATAACCTTCATTATATCACACACACCAAGATTGCCTTCACTTAACATCACATATACCAAGATTCCAAAACAATTTCAATTTTCAAACTTTTTTTTCAACTTTTTTTCAAATATTACTTTTTTAAATACCATATTTTTTATGTCCAAACACCCACTATTAATTATGCATGTGTGTATTTTGGTAACACTTATGGGTGTCGGTTTTTTCGATTTCTTCGGGGTTTTTTAGATTTTTTTTGTTACATGAATATTATTTCAATCTTACTTTATTAGTGTTATAAATAAATTTTTGATAAATTAGTATATGTTTAGTAAGAACTGAATAAATTGACAATCACATGATCAATTAAAAATATTATTATGGGAGAATTCTTATGGTAACACATAGGGCTGCTTAACGGGCGGATCGGGCGGTTATTTACTCTTAACGGTTTGGCTTATCGGTTATCGATTTTTAAATGTATTAATCCGCTAGCCACCCAATAAGATATCGGACGGATTAGTATCGGTTTAGCTATTATCGGGCGGTTATCAGGCGGTTATCAGTTTAGTTTCAGTTGATTAAAATGATGACATTCTTCAGTACCTTATAATGATGACAAACATTATAAATGCCTTTTTTGTAACAGATGAATTGTGTTTTCAACTATTATGCTTAGCTTATAGCAATGGTTGATATTAGAAGTATTAACCTGAGAGCTGTTACTGCTGATTGTGGTTGAAGCTATTGTTGCTCTGTAAATTTCGTTGTAACTGGCTTGTGTCCTTTCTTCTGCTATTCTTTCGGATTTTGCTAAGAAACGTTGACATGAAACTAGTTAGAAATTGCAGTGTCTCTTGGCTTTGCTTTGGCTATATAGTAAATTATTTAAAGCTAATGTT